CTATGGTATTTGTCTTCGTAAAGCGTACATATCGATCTGTGTTTGTCAGGGGTTTGTTTACTTTGGATTAAGCCTTCATATTTTCTTAGCGTGGTTCGTCATTGTCTTTGGAAAATGTGTGCGACTCCTGGTGCATGCATCAATGAAACCGGGTTGTTTGGCTCGGCGTCCGTTGTGCCACAAAGTAAATCTACCGAGTGGTGTAGTAGCTCAGTGGCCGTTGTGCCAAAAAGTATCTCTACCGAGATGTGAAGCTCAGCGGCGCCTTTTCATCTTGACTTGTGATATGTTCGGCACCGGACAAACAAACATTTAGCTCTGTGTTATTTATTCGGAAAAACTTATAAACCAGCATGAGCCGTGGCTACTTTCATAAGAAACAAAAGGAAAATGGAATCAAAATAACTTCCTAGCTGGACGACTCCCTTTATACTAATTGCATATACCCTCGGCAACTTGAAATTTTAGCAATAGCCATGCAGGTGAATTAGGTACACTGTACATCAATGCATGTTCGCCTTAAGTGGAAGTGGTTTCACCTACGTGTACAATAGAAAATGACTAATTCTTTTATCTACATGGACATGACGAGATGTAGTTGTTGTCATGTACAGGAAAAAGGTCCCTTTTTTAAATGTAGCCTGAATATCTCTTGTATTTAGCGTATGATGAAATGCCAACAGAAGATGAACAAATTGGAAAGAAGCAAGTAGTTGTTAATCTCACTCTTGCTGAGTATAAGGTGAGTTAGTAATTATTGTAATGCCTTGAATCTACCAAAAAAAACCGGTTACTATTGGTTACGAATAACAGACAAGACATAAGGTCACAAAGATCAAATGTAATGTAATGCCTTGAATCTTACAAAAAAACCGTTATTATTCGCGGAATATATTCTTCTTTACAAGAAGTTTTTAAGATTTGTTGCCGCCCATTCGCAGACGTCTCTCCCGCGAAACGTCCCTAGCGGCGATGAGTGAGGAGAGATGGCTCTATTTGCAGGCTAAAATATTACTTTTGTTCAAGGTCTTTGTAAAACATTTGCCTTTTAGGAGATTGTGAAGACCTTTAACATCACAAGGCCAATGATTCCACCACGCCCTACTATGAATGGTATTGTCAATCATAACAACCAAACCAATGGTAATGAAGATGATGACGAGGACTAATAATCTACACAAGAACATTAAGATTTAAAAAAAGCTTTATATTGATGAGAAATAATATTAGATTTAGTTGTATTTTTAAGGCTTTGATGTAAGGATATGCAACAGTTTACTATTATTTGTCGTTATTTATTTTTAGTTTAGTTTCCGTTACAGGTGCAAAATAAGACAAATTGACACTCTTGACAAATCATAAATATAAATTTTGAAGGAAATGCACTCATCCTTTGGTTGTGGTATACAGGTGTACTTTAATGTAGCAGGGGCATAGCTAGGGGGGTCCTGGGTTGCCAAGACCCCCCTTTTGTGATGAGCAGTGGGACCAAAATACATGTAGAGTGGTTTATATTATGCGGAGCTTAATTCAACTGCGCAGCTATTTTGTATTTAAATCGTCTAATTCTTTGTGAATTAGATTTGATCTTATCTTTAGAACGTTTTCAGTAAAAGCAATGTTGCGGGTTTAATTTCATGCTCCCAAAAAGTTAATTAGCTGTAAATATTACGTAAAAGAGTCAAGTTGTTCTTGTTGTGTTTTCGTTCTAGACCTGGGACTTTTAACTGTGATTATACATTGATAGTCTTCAGTCTTGTACAGTCAAAGCTCTCCTTACGATCTCTCTCGTAAGCGACCAGCTCTAGTTACGACACTTTAGTGAAACCCCGTTTGAGCGACCGCGACCACATTAGGGATTACCTAGCTGGACTTCTCCTTTGTTTTTTTAAGTTCTTGTAACCCATTCTTGCACTTAACAAATAGATTCCATGTTGCCATGCGTCTGTTCAGTAATAGATCACAGGAGATGTCAAAATAATATTTAGATTTGGGGTTATTTTGGTGTAAAAAATTGGTTGTAAAGTTTAGCCTTGTCTATATGAGATATAAAGACATCAAACAAATGTTTTTTTTGTTAACCATTATTTTCTCCTGGTTTTTCTTTATGAATTATTAATAAGTTTTTAAAGCTCTCGTAAGTTCCCCCGGGCCTCTGTATCAAAATGAGGTTAAGTGCTCAGCCTTTGATATGGAAATGTTTTTCTATTCTCTTGCAAATAAAACTCATTTTCACAAGAAAGGTTGGGCACTTGGCCTCATTTTGAAAGTGAGGGTGTTTGGAACTCGGAAGTGGCCTATTGGTTTATTATGCGTGGTCGCGGCTTACGAGAAGCTCATTCTCGTAAGCGACCAGCCCTAGGTACGACCACTTTTTCGAATTTCATAGGTGGTCGCTTACGAGAGCTTCGACTGTATTTATATATTGAGGACAAGAAAATCTTATTCGCTGACAGGTTTCTACACCTATTCGTGAAAAATTCCTAAATTTAGAATGTCATTTACCCATTTATAAGAGCTAGCACAGGGAAAATTTACGTGGTGGTCAGTTCACTAAATTTGGTATGATTTCAGTTCTAGAGAAATAGTGGTAAAAACGTCAATAAACCAGTGTAGCTGCAAGTTTATTTAATTGGTAGGATAGAAGAAACGGGGGACAAGTTGTGGTATGGTGTAAACCAGAACAATGAACAGAAGCAGTAGCATTGTTTTAATACAGTTCTTGTAAATGCCTTTCTTACGTGCTGTTTTGTTTTTGTGTCAATTTCAGAATGTGAATCCGAAAGAGTTTTTGATTGGCTCAAACGTTAACAGAAATAGAGACGAAAGAAACCATTACTTATCATAAGCTCCATCTCACACTCCCAGTCTCTATTATAAGGCCTGGGTAAATTCAATCTCTTTCATTGCTCGTTGCGTCCGACTGAAAGCAATTTGGTTTGATAGGATACTGGCCATGTAGAACCTCGCCTTATGACCAACCCCTTTATACTACCACCTCGTTATCGTTCGACCAAAACGAAAGAAACACCGGTCATTTTATTATTTTGAAGATCCCGTTAATAAGACCAGGATTTTATGGCCCAACAGTGGTCGCATTAACGGTGTTGCACTGTCCTGATCGTATTGACGATTTGAGAAGCGGGGGAAAATAGAAACGTCAGCACCAGCTATTATTCAAACAAGTAGGAATTTCACAAAAAATTACAGTTCAAAAAGTAAAGAATTGAAATTAAATGTAAAATATGTTGGTCCGAAATGTCACGGGTCAGGGAGAGGAGAGGATGAAATTTCAGACTGAAGAAAATGTGAGTCGAGTTTAATTCCTTTTGCTATTAAAGAATTATTAAAGATTGAGTTTGCTGTCTTTGAGTTTGATCAATACCCCTCGAGTGCCTGTCGCACCGAGTCGCACTTACATGCCGCTCTCACCAGGCAACGGGGCACTCCCTTATTTGGCCTAAACGGGTTATGTGCCGCTGAAAAGCGGCTAAATAGGGTACGGGTCTTGAATTTTAGGGCCTGTTTACGTGGAGGTGGGGGACCCCAAGTAGGTGGGGTAACCCGCCTGTCCATACAATACCTCATATGGTCATCCCACCTGTCATGTAAACTCGATCAAATTAATATGAGAGATTGTATGGACAGGCGGGTTACCTCACCTACCTGGAGTCCCCTACCGCCATGTAAACAGGCCCTTAAACAGGGTATGATAATGTCACAATTTGTCGTTTTGGACTGGAAGCCTTTAGAAGAGTGTGAAGGTTGGCTATGAGTTGTCATCATATGTGGTAGGCTGCACCTACAATTTTCTAACCCCCCCCCCCCC